CACTCACTTCTATCGTTTCATCTGAGCTGTGTTCCTGGTTGTCTCCTGGAATGTGCGAAGGCTCCAGATGTGGAACTGATACTGCAGCTGGCTCTTGAGTCCTGCTGATTTGAAAGTAACTGTCCAATGCTGCCCTGATTCCAGAAAAGCAAAAAAACAAAAGCCACATAGTTATTTCAGGTAAACTGAAGATGTTCTCAGTATGTTTCTCTAAGTGAATCTGCAGTAAGATTTCTAGGCGCTGATTGGATAATTGTGGTACCCTCGTATGTACAAAAAAAGTCCTTGCCCCTCAACCAAACAATCTCCTACAGTGAACTGCCCACTTTATCAGTGAAGTGCAATCATTCATTTTGCTCAGCTCAAAAAAAAAATCTCCTTCAAATTACAGCAGTACTACTGTTTTCTTTTGTGGTGGCATGATGGTGGGGTCAGTAGAGATGCAAAGAAAAGAGAGGGAGACATAAGTATTGCTCATTAATAGCCTACAAAACTACTGACCTGTACTTACAGCTGGAACTCCAACTTGGCTCCTGTAGACACTGGTAATACTAGATACACGTGGGTTGTACCAGACTCTCATCCCATTTACTACTTTATGCCTAGTTTTTCCATCTTCCTCCTTTCTATTGTTCTTCCCAGGGAAGAAACACCATCCCCTCCCCTCCATCAGTTCAGCTATCATCTCAGTTATTCTTCAGTTTCAAAGCAGAACTCTGTCAGGTTGCCTTCCAGCCCTGAGAACTGCAGTGACCTTCACAAGCAATCCAAGGGCAAATACTACAGCTATGTTTAATTGTCTGGGAGGAGAGGAGATCTTGGCCTCACTGAATTTAAAAGCAATTCTCCAGTTAATTAGAATTTCACCCTTGGCATTTACAAGAGATACAAAGACAAGGAAAAAAAACAAAAACAAACAAAAAACAGAAACAGGAATTTCTTTGTAGCTGGATTGCATCCCCACTCATCACACTTTAAAGTCAATCACAAATGGTATTGGGCATATAATTATTTTCTTTGCCTGAAGATAACAAAAACTATACAAAAAAATATTAGTTTGAGTGTCTGTAAAAGTTTCTGCAGTCATCATCAGAAGACCTAAATCCGACAATCCCAAATCAGAGATGAAATGTAAAACAGTACAAACGCCACTGAGCTAAATGCTGGCTGGTACTGCTGAGAGTCAGTACTGCTGCAGGATATACCAACAGGAATCTGGCAGGGCAGAGAGATCTCAGGGAGCAGCAGCTCTGCAAGTCAGAGAGAGTGGAAGGGCTCAAAAGTCAACAATAACACTGCCAACCTAAGAGACAGCGAGGAACTAATTTAATGAGGAGCAAAAGATTGCAAGAAGAGATCAGACAACAGTGTGCCATTACACAGGTCAAAAGACGCGAGGTGCACAGAATTCGGCCATAATCACACACTGGACCGAGCTGGGCTCCGTAAGCCGGGAAGCACAACGCTTTTTAAACCGGTATCACAGGTGTGATAAGACAGGGTTCAGACCCAATTCCATTTCTGCTTTACCTGCTACTGACTGTCCTCTGGGAACCACCAATTCTTTGTTGCCTGCGAGCTCTTCTTACTTGCGGACGCTGCGTGATCTGCAGCCCAGGCAATACCTGATGCTGATCAAATGCTCCCCGTAGCCTTTGCAGTCCACGGAGAGCCGAGGCAGAACCCAACCGCTGGTCAGAGTCAGCAGCAGTCCTTGTAGTATCAGCGTTTGATATCACAACAGCTCCATCAGCAGGAAGAACTGTAACAACATCTCCTTCTTCACTGTGCGCTGCAGTATGTGGTACTCTGTGATGAGAGGGCTCTGAGAGAAGCGCCCGGTGGTTCTCTACGTGGTAACCAGCCACTGGTTGCAGATCAACTTCCATCTCTTCTTGAGCCATTTCTGTAAAGAGTTGATAAAAAACAACTAGTACCTGCAAGTCTGTGCCTGCTTGTAGCATTATGGTGGCATGAATTGGGTGCATCAGTCAGTCACTACAAAAACCTTTAGAATTCAGACTAGAGAAGCATAGGTCCTTTTGCTTTAGAGACGCTGCAAAGCTAAACTGGCTGTCTCAAGTCGAAAGCTGTATGTTAGCTGACACAGAAGGCAGCGCCCTCCCAGGGTCCTTGATTTTGAAGCCCTTGGCTCAACACTACCTAGTCGACTTAAGTTAGCTTTCAGATGAAAGTGGACAGTTAGGGATTTCTTGCTGGTATCATCTACTTGCTGGTAAACACATTTGGGTCTTGGAGTACAGAGTTTGGAAAATGCTTTCACGCTCTAAAGTCTCTACAGCGACAGGCGCTACACAGACACCTACAAACACAGCCAGAAACCAGCTGAACAGCACAGTCCTTTGTCCATTGCATTGCTCCTTCTGGAGGAGAGTTTTTTTTTTTTTAAAGTTTTTTCATAGATAAATAAAATTCCATTACAATAACAGCTCACTGGGAACCTTACCCACCTTTTAATTACTTCATCAACACCATACAAATCCAATAAGGGTATTTATTATACCAGAACCCAAAACAGAGACACCGTGGATAGTAAGGCACCTACAGTATCAGTATTTGTGGAGCCATATCCAGTCTGACACTAAAAAAACATAAAACTTTGCAATAAAACTCATGTGTTATTTAAGCATGGTTGCCTTCCAAACACCTTTGAGATGAAGACGGCAGGTAACCTCCTAAAAAGAGGTAGTATGTTAGGCTTTGAAGGAAAAAAGAAGAGGCAAAAGGCTGTGCATTGCTAATAATCAAGCTGCCACAGAATTAGAGCACATTAGCTGACCTGTGGTTCTGCAGTCTTACAACACAAGAAAGCAAGATTTTTTCAACTGAATAATTAAGTATACCAAACAATCCTCTTTTTTTGAGGGTGGGTCAAGTTCTGCAAAATGCTGAAGGTTATTTGTATCTTCAAAAGATACTTAGGCAACCATAAATCTGAAAGGCCTTGAAGATGGTAGACCTTTAGCCTTAAATTTAAGAGCCCAAAGCACACACCTAAACTTATTAGGCTAGGCCGTGTGCAAACAGAGCAAAGACTTCTTCTAGCACAAGGGATAGCTAGGAAAATATATACATGAATTACTAGAGGGAGATGTACTAATGGTAATGTATTTTTATAAACCTTTTTGTAAACTCTAAGTTATGAAGCATTTTATAAGTCTTAACCTAAATAACACTTCGACCCAAGCTAGGCAAAGAGGAGATGCCAAACCCTGTCCCCCCACGAGAATAAACAGTCATATAATCAAGATACAATAAAGTTCAACCACATGTTCCTGTGATAACATTCAGCTATACTGCTTCTCTAGCACTAAACTCATAAAACTGCCACCCAAAAGCACAAGAGACTCCTTATTTTCTCATAAATTAACACTGAGGCTTAAAAATATTACATAAATTAACCATCCTGGGCTAACTCGCCATTCATATTTCCTCATAAAAGACGAGGTAATACTGGCATCTGCACCATTAAACCTTGGAGCCTCGTGAAAGGCGTAAAGATCAGTGCTTCCCCGTGACAGCCAGTCACCTGGCACTAGCAGGGAGGGCCTACATGTCCCCACAGCCAAGCTTCTTGGGCCCAGGTCACAAAAGTCGGAGCGCTTTCGCGCAGAGAAGCCCGAGTACCAGCACAGCAGGCTGCTTCACACAGGCGTCTGTAATACTAACCCGAGAGCTTAACGCTGAAGCACAAGCTTCCCCTTGCGCAGGGGCTTCTGGCCGCCGCAGCGCGCCGTGCTGCTCTGACGGACCTTCAGGCTTGCCTCCACATCGCCAGCCTTTATTCCTCCACGGCTGCTTTAACACAAAGATAACCAAAACTCAGCACGCCGCGAAACTCGACCTCTATGACGGGGTTTCTTTGTGCCTTTTGAGGGGATACTGCAACTGCGATGGGCCCTGGCAAAAGGCGCGGGACAAACCCCGCGGCGGCAGGGGCCTTGCGCCCCGCTCGGCAGCG